TTTTTAAATACTTTTTTTTGTTTATTAAATCTATTAAAGTTTTTTTCTATATTAAGATTCACAGAATTTACAACTGTGATATGTATATTGTTTTATATGAATTCAATATATTGCTTTTAGTACTGTTTGAAATCCTTTGAAGTGTTTTCAGCCTGTTAAGGAAGATAGTTGTGATGTCTAGTTTTGTTTGTTATTTATCAGAAAGTGATCGAAATCCATCACCACCTAAGGAACTTCTTGAGAGCAGTGACGATCTTGTTCCAGATAAGATTGGGGAATCAGTGTTTAGCAAGCACTGGGTCTTTCAGTGTTTAATACATGTTATTCAGGTAAAGAGTTTTGATCATTCTAATTTACACACATTTCCTCTGGTATGTATGTGGGTGTTTATATATATATATATAAATATATATATATATATGTATAATTAGAAATAAAAACATTATTCCATCATTTCTATGTCGGAGAAATTTCAACACTCAATAGCAATAAATAATTATAAATATTAATTTCTTGTTTGAACAAGTTAAATTGAAGAAATAATTAAAATGATTACTTTAATTAATAGGCAATTAAAATCCCCAATTACCTTTCCTCCTTCCCTTACCAACTATCTGCATTGGTGGTTGAACAAGGGCAGCACAATGAAGGGAGTACCGCTTCCTCCACCTCGTCTGGATTTGCATTGAATCACAGATGCTTCTCTTCAAGGTTGGGGAGTGTTGCCCATCAGCAAGAGAATTCTGGGCAATGGTCTCAGATTGTAATATTTTACCATTTCAACATCTTGGAGATTGTGGTGATATAGTGTGCTTTGGTTCATTTTCTTCTACTGGTAAAGTACCAACACATTATGCTCCATTTCTGAAAATTCCACTGTTGTGGTCTATTTTAATCACTATGGGAGCACCTGCTCCTGTTCTATTTGTGGTCAAATCTTGGACCTCCTTTATTGGGCCCATACGCTTCAAATAAATCTCCTTGTGTGTTATGTTCCAGATGCTTTTCACCTTGTGGTGGATCTTTTTGCAAGTCCCAACCAGATTTATCTCATGGAGTGGTTTTTCAACCTTCAGGTTTTCAGGTGGCTATGCAATCAGTGGGGGTACTCCTCATCTGGATGCTTTTGCCACTTTACTCCAACACCAAGTCACTTCTTTTTTTTGGTTTAAGGTTCATAATCCTCAGATCCTGGCAGTGGCTTTTTTCAGTTAAAAATGTACCAGTCGGTTTCATTTATGTTCCTTCCAGATTTGTTGACCTCCTTGTTGTAAGGTTATTCCAGATCAGTTTTTCCTGTTCAAAATTTTGGCAGCCCATGAGAGTCATTCTTTATTCTTGCCATTTTCTCTTCCATCCATTTCCCATTTTATTCCAGGTCTGCTCCAGATAGGCTACTATGTCTAGTATGTGCTTTGTGTTGCTCCATTGTATGGCCTCCTTTAGTGGTTCCTATTTCCACCTTTCCATTACCTGGCAATGTTCATCTGTACATGACTTCTCTTCTTCTACCCTTATGATTTGGGATTCTTAACTGCCTCTATTGTTCTATTCGTCCCCGTCTTTTTCTTCCCAAATTCTGTTTCAGGTGTCTTTGCTTAAGATTGGGCACCCTCCCTTTTTTCCTGGAGTCTCACCTCCATTCTTTAATGGAGGAAACTCTTCAGTCAGACATTTGGCCTACTCCTCATACGCTCATCTCTCACTATCTTTATTGGGTAGTTGTTTCTTCCTCGTCAGGGTACCATCTTCTGCCTGTTGCCACACTTCAAACCTCAATACAGTTGTAACTGGGTAACTTATCTTTTTTATATATATTTTTCCTTTCAGGGGCATGCCCCATTTGGGACTTAGATCCTGCTCAATGGTGAGCATTGCCTGTCCAGGTATGCTTCCTATACCTCAAATCTGTACTGTACGGCTAAACCCATGGCCAATAACGTACATTGTTGAGATGGAGTGTTCCACAAGATGGCTATTAGGTTTTTCTTTGTGATACATTTGCTTTATTAATATGCCCATTGTGGATCGTACTAACCCATGAACTTACCTGGGTAAAGCTGTGGAGTGTGGGAGTTCTTGCCACTTTCCAGTGTTTGCTTCCATTCATTAGAGATTAGGGCAGTGTTCTGCTGGTGTAGATGGCATGTGATCCCAGTCATGTATCCCACCTCTGTGTGGTGTGTATAGAAGGTTGATGTTGCACCCAGCTTCTGTACAGTTCTATCCGGAAGGTGAGGTTGCTATATATTTCTCAATGTGATCCACTTTTGTGCTGTGGAACCCGGTGATGTTGATCGGGGTGACGGTTCTTCACTCCCTGAGGCTGATGTTGCGCAGTGGGTGCCAGTCTGATTGAGTTTGAGTACGATGCGTCCTGCCACATAGGAACATCTCTTCGTATCATCATTCAGATGTTTGGTTCCCAAATGTGTGGTTGGTTGTGTATTTGCGCATATGAGTCTGTTCCATAGATCGATTTGCACAGTATATCCTTCCGTTCTACTCAGCTTGAGGTGAAGACAGTGTGGGACCTCCTCCTACCATGAGTTGGAGGTTCTATTCCTTATACCACTTGGTTTGGGACTGGAATTGACCAGTTGTGTACGGTCCATCATGCCCTAGCCACTCTACACCTTGGAGCACTTTCATTTTAGCTTTCCTCACATTTCTGTCCATAGATGGTTCTTTTACAGTCTTTCTTCTATGGGATGTGATGTTTTGATTATTAGAAAATAGTTACGAATGATTACTTAAAGCCCTGTATCTGGTTCATTAGTCACTATGGATTCTGTTGATCCTGTAAAGCTGAAGAATAATGATTTGGATTCCGACCCAACTCATTGTCTCTCCTTTTTGGTTTTGCTCCTTCCACTTTCTGCCCATGTATGCGACACCTATTTACTCACTGGGTGCATTGTATACCTGGTACAGTCTCCCATGTATGTTCATAGAACATGCTTATAAGCTTACCAAATTCATTTTCATTATTTCAGAAAAAACTTGAGCTATTTAGAATTATTATGTATAGTAATTTTGAAAGTAATATTAAACTGCAGTGTAACGTAGTGAGGTTTTTATTGAGCTAGATATAAAGCACTCTGACTGTTCTTCAGGCTGTGGAAAAAGAGGATGAAAAGCCAGAACCAAGTGGTGAGAAAGAACAAAATGAGACAGATAATTCTGGTGAAGAAGAAGGAGATAAGGCAGAAGTTCTTGAGCTAAATAAAGAACTTGAAGAAGAGCTCTGCACCTTATGGGATATGTCAGCAAATAATGTGAGTAAAGATGAGAACTTCTGTTTCAAACATTTACGCATCTGTAGAGTAACATGCTTAAACCCACTTAATAACTACTGATCTTTAATGACTGTAGTACACATTGAAGAATGATTGATGGTTTGAATAGATAATAATGATTACTCTTGGGCTACTTAAGTGTTAAATAAAGTGTAATGTTACTATTTTTTATATAATGGTATGTTACTAACTTGTAATGGGGTTGAAGTAGGGGAGGGGTCAAGGGAGTCCAGACCATTCCACTCCATTTTTCTCAGAAATTAATAAACAGTTAGATGTCCTTATACTACCATACAGTATCAAAAAGAAATATTTAATGCCAGTGTTTTTATTTGATTAGTCTATTAATTACCAAAGAAGCTTTTTTTTTCTTCAGGTTTTATGAAATTAGCATAGCTGGAGTCTACAGCAATGCAGTTATGGTCTCAGCCAATAACTGATTATCACTAAGCTAATACAATAATATGAATGTCAATTAAACATTGCCATGGTAAATTTTCATGTATAGACAAGGTGTTTAGACTTTAGAGATTTGTTTTCATCAAAGTTAGTATTGTTTAGGACTTATACTTGTTACAGAATTGATTTTCCATGGTGTGGAAAGTAGAATTGTTACGAGAAATATTTTTTTTCTCATAGTAGATTTCCAAAATAAGGAAAAAATGCAGGTGATATGACTGTATATGTAATAACTTTTGAAAAGAAGGTTGTGAAAACAGGCATTTTGTTCATGTATACTAAAATATGAATTCCAAGATGATAACTCGCCTTCTTCACACACACAAATGCTATTTCTCTTGCGCATCTGCCTTTGATATTTGCATGCCACAAGCCTTGAGCTGACTCCCACATAAATTTGTGTGTGTAACATGAACCACAACGGTGCTTGATGATGTCATCATGTGATAATAGCTTTCCACCAATTGGAGGGCAACGCAGCTTCCATGTGCAGTAACTACCCCTAAGTACTTTTACTCGTGATAACTTCATTCTTCTTTTTTGCATTGCATTGAATTTTTTAAATTTCTTGTCTGAGTACAATTTAATGACACTTGCATTTGTTAACGAAATCTTTTTTTTTTTTTGGCTTTTGTTTCAAAAGCTTTATATTTTTATCCTGATTTATTATATGACGGTGTTGTGTGTGGGAAGATGTTCAGCCATAGTAGGAATAGGGTGTGTGTAACATCTTCCCACACACAACACCGTCAGCCATAGTAGGAATAGGGTGTGTGTAACATCTTCCCACACACACAACACCGTCAGCCATAGTAGGAATAGGGTGTGTGTAACATCTTCCCACACACAACACCGTCAGCCATAGTAGGAATAGGGTGTGTGTAACCTTTTATTCCCATCTATTGGGCCAAAATTCTTTCTCCTCAGTTTCAGGTTGAATAAGAAGAAGACGAACTTTATCACCTATTCCCTCCTTCTGCTTGAATAAAAAAGTTACAGCAAGTTAATATTCATCATTCACTTGAAAAAACATTAATTGCTGAGTAAGTTGTTCCTTTCACTGTGTTTGTGAGAATTTATTAGACGTGGTCTAATAGTTGTCCAACAAATGAACAATATGTAACACTGCATTCTATATCTAGTCCATTAGGGATTTTCAAGAATTAGAAGAGTGTATAATAATAGTATTTCAACCACACTATGTTCACCATATCCATTGCTGATGACACATTTCACCCGATGCAGGGATCTCAGGCCAGCTGGGACGAACTAATGATCAGAACACAATTTATATATAAAAGAAAAAAGGCGTTTTACACCATAACAATATATAACTGTTTAAGTCGTTAACTAGTTACATGAACAAACTCAAGTTTAATTACAATTACTTTCACTGTACGAAGGAAGCGCTGAAGAGTGATAACAAAAGTTTGGCTGTCATCACGTGACTAGTGAAGATAAAATGCAGTGAGTTTGATTTATTGATTGCTCAAAATGCACTTTTTTTTCACAGTTTTTTTTTCGTTCTTTATTGTAAAATGTAAACGTATTAATGAGAGGTCACGTTAACAAAGAATTCTACGATACGTATGCTGAAAATGTTTATAAAATCTCCCAAAAAATACAATGCAATACAATGTCAAAATCAATCTCAGCATCTTAAAAAAAAGACCCAGATGCATATATATAAAAAACATAGGAATTCAGTAACAAGGAGGAAATTAGCCCCCCCCCCCAAGTTTTCTTGTTGGGTTTTCTTATTGATTATTCCATATTGGGTTTCAACCTTTGTAAGGTAAAAGTATAATAATGGAATATATTAATGTTATCTTAACTTTGATTTACTTATTTTGGTTACTTTAGGAGTGTATCATCAGTATATGGTCGACATTGATTAATCCAAAATAATAATATAATGGAAGGCTATCTTCTTTTGTGTAAAAAATACTGCAAATTTGGTTACAGTGTTACGCGGCTAACTTTAAAAAATTAACTGGTGTCACACTATAATCGTGAAAATAAAACATTACTGTGTCTAGTACGGAGGTGTTAAGCGTTGTTCTATTAACACAATAATACTGTATTATCTGAATATACTTTCTGGTTTTATTCTTATTCATTCCATTATGGTTTTCAAACTTTGTAAGATAAGGCTATAACTATTAAAAATTTTATTTCACAAATTAATTGATGTTATTCTAATTTTTATGTTGCTTAATAATTGTAAGTTTAGGATATTTGAAGAGTTTCCAAAACTATCAGGTTTTTTACTTTGGCTACATACTTGTTTTCCATATAAATAAAATGGCTTATGTTGCCTACAAAGCGCTTGATTAACTGCCTAGTTATAGATACAACACTTAATGCACCAGTATTGTTGTAAATACACTTATGAACATATAAAACAATACTGAATTGTCTGGAATGATAAATCTCAAAAAGTGTACAAAGTACTATATTTATATGTTAAAGATTTCTTTTCTTTTTCATCAGAGGTGAAATTGAAAAGAGAATCTGTGATGTATAGGCCTAATACATTCTTTGATTGGCCCTATCCTTATTGCAGACTACAGTTTAGCCTATTCCAAGCTCACTAATACAGCTTGGGACAGCTATATAATATCAAATAATGAATTTGATGAAATGTCATAATATTATTCACATACATAAATTAATTTAGGTTACTATATGGTAAAGTGAAATGGACTTGGTATCCCATTGATACTGTATGCAGTATTGTTGCTACGGTTGACTGATAAGTGAATAAATCTGTGATTGTTTCTAAACATTAAAAGATACAGTTGCATAATTTGTGTATGTGATACGTTATCATGTACAGTAGTTTTAGAATTTAAAAAAAATTAAATTGTTATACCTGAAGTTTTCAATATTTCTGGCTTTCCTTTTTTTTTGCCACTTTTAAATTTTTTTTTTTGAGACCCAAATTTAAAGGTCAATTTTCTTTATTAATTCTAACTATAATTCAACAATTTTAACTCAAAAATATTTCAGAATCAATATTATGCCTTTTTCTGACACTTATTTAGTGTAATTCTTGAGAAAAAAAGTCAATATTCTAATTTTTGCACAACTGCAAAGAGGTTTTACCTGTAAATAATGTAGTTTTTTAGAATATTTCTGCCAATCCCAAAGGATAACTTTATTACTGCTAGTAAAACATCATCCCTTGGGAATATATCATCCATTTCCTGATATTCAAATGTTTCTCTTAGTTTTTGTACAGACCTTGGTTGAAATCTTGTTATGGTACCACATCGAGTAGTTTGGTCATTTAGTAATGAAATACAGGTTTGAAATTAACTATAAAGAAATTTAACTATGATTTGGTAGAGCAAGAATTAGGCTATCACGTCATAGTAGAGTAAATATGTAGGTTTAAGAGTTGTTGCTTTTTTGTAGTTTTTTTAAGGATTTTTTTTTGTTTATCAATTGTGAAAGTATTTGTGTGTGAAATTATATATGTTTAAAAGCTACAGAAATATTATTCAATGAGAAGACATTAGGTAACTTTAGATAAGGTAAGCTTATACAGTTTAGAGATGGGTAACAAAGAAAACTGTTAGATAGTAGCTAACATACAATGTTTGGAGAAGATTCAGATACAAATAGTTTACCTAGATACAGGAATATATATGTAATATGAAACAAAGAAGTCACATGACTGGAGGTTACTTAACCCTTTCACCGTCCTGTGCATCACGTGTGGTTCACAGGATGATGCTAATGTGTCTGAGTGTCACGTGATGCACAGGACAATGCTAAAGTGTCTTGAGTGTCATATGTGATGCACAGGACACTGCTAAAGTGTCTGAGTGTCATATGTGATGCACAGGATATGCTAAAGTGTCTGAGTGTCATATGTGATGCACAGGACGATGCTAAAGTGTCTGAGTGTCACATGTGATGCACAGGACGATGCTAAAGTGTCTGAGTGTCATATGTGATGCACAGGATGATGCTAAAGTGTCTGAGTGTCACATGTGATGCACAGGACGATGCTAGAGTGTCTGAGTGTCATATGATGCTCACAGCTACATTTATATATAGCTGATGCTCATGAATGTGGCAGTAAAGAACTGGTTACTTTGGTTCAATGTGTCAGATTAGAAGAGAGCTTCATATGAGTATCACATGTGATGCTCATATATGATTTTCGGGCGTTAAAAATGTTGAAATTATAGACAAAGAAGATAAAAAAATCAGCAAAATATCTTTATTAAGCCTTAACCCTTTCCCTGTTTTAGGTCATTTATGGATATCCTTATTTATCTAATTATCCAAGTTGATAATGTGTAAAGCATATTCTTCTGGTATTATTGAAAGAGAGTGAAGTAGAAAGTTTTAGCAACTAAAAATTCTGTGTATCATATATGACTCTCAAATGAGTCACAATGTGATTATTACTCAAAAAGATAAACAGAATCTTGTTTTTTAATTGCAGTGTTTGTATGCTTCTGGGAAGCATGGGCTCACTCAGGTGGCTGTTTCTGAAGCATTACACTGCTGTTCATTCCATCAGTTTATACCCAAGTTGTGCTGTGAACTTGTAACCATTGTATAGAATTTTTAAAGATTCCAGAATAATATAAAACCTTCCAGAATTATTTAAAATATCCTGGAAGATTCTAGAATATACAGATATAATGTGATCTACAGGGTAAAATTTCAAGTACCTAAATGTTAGTCAATATGGAAAAAAATTTGGTGTAAATACATATATTGGAACACACACACATATGCAAAATGATGACATATTAAAAATATTATGATATATCTAGGACATTTCTCTATGTTAAGTAAATATCATTTTTACACACACATACACACATATATATATGTAATATATGCCATATTTACTTTATATTTGTATTGTGTACTGGGCCTTGGATTTCAATATGTATATACATATCTATAATGAAATACCTTATACTGCACTAGTAAATAAAACATAACGTGTTTAAGCAAGGCCCCCTTCCCCCCCCTGTAACTAGATTATCAGGACTGATACCCAAAGCCCCCCCAGTGGCACAGTAGTATGTATGCGGACTTACAATGCTAGAAACCGGGTTTCAATACCCGTGGTTGGCAGAGCACAAATAGCCCATTGTGTAGCTTTGTGCTTAATTTCAAAGAAACAATCTGTACACAAAACTTTTAAGCATTATCTAAATTAAAATTTAAGGTTCTAAATTCATCACAAAAAACAAGACTTGAGACTTCAAACTTACTGCTAATCTTGGTGCCTTTGTCTTCTCTATCACACCCAGGAAAATATCGCTTGCCTTAAACTCATGAAGAAAATGTGCAACATCCTAAACAAAAACAGATTATGTACATATATAAAACCTGTAATAAAGGTAGCAGTATGGGTCTCCAAAATCTAAACAGTCATGGCTATAATAGGAAACACTCATCGTTATCTAACTTGAAAATCATAAAAGATTCCAAGATACATATATAACAATTTTTTTTAATATTTGTTGAAAAACTTTATACAGTGGTTACAAGTTTACAACAATGTTAATTCGTGTACAGAAACTTAAAAAATGGCAAATTAAAGTGAGGAAAGATCGATAGCTCATTTTCATGTGTGGAGAAATTTGATTATCATGTAATTCAATAATAAACACAAGTATTTATGTTTCTGAATGCATAATGAAGCATGTATTTAGTATTCTGAGATTTAATGAAGATTAATTAATATCCAGTCTGATTCAGTATATTTATGTAGTTCTAGCTGCATTGTGTATTCATAAGTTGTTAATAATTGAAGAAACTAAGCAGACCGTTCAAAACACTAACAGTTTATCATAATCTTCAATCTATATTTTCTACATTACATTTGCTTGTTGGTTAAATATGCATTAACCGTCAAATTACAAACTTATTTTTAAATTATCCATTACTACTTGGGTGCACATATTGAGTAATTGCATGGTTTTGCCTCTTATAACACTCAGCGTAAAAAAAAAAGAGTTGAAAAATTGGGTGAAATCATTTATTTTCTTTGTATAATACATAGGAGACCTCAGTGGTAACTAGTGGGATTGGTTGCAATGTTGATCTACTTTTGTTTAAAATGTTGTTTGTGTGACTTATTTTATTTGTAACCAACAAAGTCGTAGACACGCGAGCAATTTGGTACATAAATAGTTTAGAAAAATGTGTGTAAAAGTGGATGAGGTCACTTTTACACACATTAGTAAGTGTAAGGATAAAATCTCTTTTATAAGGATTTAAAATGCAGTGGTCAGTAGCAGTAGTTGTCTTACATGTAGGTACTTTTAGAATTGACGAAAAACAAGGCAATTGCATGGACTTCCTGAACTACACAAAATAAATATTCCTATCAGACCTGTTATTTCCTATACTAATTAATGCTCCCGCTTTACAAAATAGTGCAGAAAGCCCAAAATATTTTCAAAAACCTAACTGGTTTTAAACCTAAATTTGGTATATAAAAAAAAACACTCTGCAGCTTGTAGAAAGTACTTGTGAAATGCACTATTGTCTTGTTTTTCCTCAATTCTGTAATTATGGAGTTTTATCAAGTACTGATGGTTTCAAGTATCAATTATATGCAGGTAGTTGTCTTTAAAGTTTATGGGTACTTTTAGTTAAGTACAAGTTCAGATGAATATTCACAAGAAATGCTGCTTTAAAGCATTTAATAATCACCATCACTCTTATGTCATTACTTTCCGTTACATGGTTAAAATATATTTTTCTGTTTGTTCGCATGTGTTTAACAAAAATGTGTCCATTTTTTATGTTACAGAAGTTTCCAGTAATGTTTATATATTGTAATAAATTCTGATTGAATATATTTAAGCCATGTGGCATCCAAAGATTTAATAAAACTTATTGGTTGTGTATTTGCTAAGCTAGCTGGTAAAGTTGAATATTTCATGCTTGGAGTGACTTTGTCTATTATTATTATTGAATTATATTTCTAAATTTACATTTAGTTTGATCTCAAATTACATTTTCAGTAACAACTTTATTTATGTTTGTTGTATCCTTTTTTTTACCATCTAGTGCTTATAGTAACAATCTAAATAGGTGAAAAATAACTTTCTGTGACTGAGGCTTGAACCCAGGTTTCATTGCTCTGAGGATGGGCAGCTCTCCACATAGTTTTATTGCATTGTTAATATATAAACTATGTACTGAAGTTAAGTAATTGTAAAAAACAGAATTCTTATAGTATAGTTATATAATGTATTTATTTTGGTCGCTCTCCTACCCTGCTATTAAAATGTAATTAACATGTTTTCATTATTACACTTTGATTTTTCAGGAAATAGCTGTTGGTATCCTAGGAAACATGATGTTTTTTGATGATATATGTGAGGATGTGTCTAAAAATGAAGAACTAGTGTGAGTTTCTTTGTTTTTTTAATTAAAAGCATAATTTTGCTTTGAGTCAAAAACTGTTAAATTGAGGTTTTTTTTTAATTACTGTAATGTGTTGTAGTAGTATTCGATAATACCATTGAACATATTTAGTTTATGTATACATTCAGTAAAGGTATTCATGTATTTAAGTATTTCAAAATATAATTGTTTTCTTTGTTTTTCTCTTTTTGTTTTGAATTATATTAATTGAAAAGTATGCTTTTCCATGCATTTTATTGTAGCTTTTTGTAAGTGTTGAAATTTATATTTATGACTTCTGTAGGATCTTCACACACACACACTAAATGTTACATTTTAGAATGTACTTTGTTATTATGTGGGTTAGTTGTAGCATTGTGAGACAATGCTTATTTGTGTAAATGCTTATTCTTGTGTGAATGGCAAGTCATTTTTGTTATAGTTGTTAGATATACACGACTGTTTCAATTTAAATTTAATATGAGAGTTATGGTTTAGATAATTATAAAGTGTTAAATTTAGTTGTTTTTAGAAGTGATACTTTATCGCAGGTTTTTTTACATAACTGTATATGAATCATATGTTGTATAGTTCAATTGTTGTGAAGTGCCAATTGTTATATTATTGCATCATGTTACCAGAACCTTCTAAGTTTTTATCCTTGTTTTAATTGACTATTGTAGTGTGTGTGGAGCATTCTAGGCCTCTGTTTGGCTATAGATATGCATCCATAATGAAGTTCATTATAGTTAGGTAGATAGATCTAGACTGCGTTATTGTGAGTTTAGGCATAAAGGGCATATAGTGGCGATTTCTAAAATGAAATTATCACAGATTGTATTGTAATAACGGAGTAGAGAGTAATAATTTGTCAATTGTGTTCTAAAGTAACTGAACCAACTTGTGTGGAATTTGATGAAAAGAGACAATTATTTAATACTCTGGATACAACTTTGGTAACCAACAGTGTAATAATGTTTGTATATACATTTGACTTGTTGTAATATATATATATTATTTTAAAAGAAGTGGATTGTGTGCTGTTTGTTTATTGTTGAAATGTAGCACCAACAAGTCACAGACACCTATGATGAAGAATCTGCCCCACCCATACATATAAAACCTGACAATAGTAGTTTGCTATTTTTTTGACTAACAAACTTATCAGAAATATACATTTTTTTTCTTATTAAAAATTCTTAACACCACAAGATATGTTATTTCTATTTAAATCTATCTGCAAACAGATAAATATATTTTCAGACTTCAACTCTGAAAGAATAATAGTAAATGTTATGTTACTAAGCTGCCCTTAACACAGTTTCTCATTAATGATAATATATAATTTGAATGAAATCATAGCACTGTTTTTGGGATTATATTGTGTTAGTGTTTACAGAGTAATTTATAAAATGTTTGGATGTTCTTTGTTTTACAGGAAAGTCCTCTTACTTCTTTTGAACAGTTCTGACTCACCAACTCTTGTACAAGTGGTAAGGTTTGTATAACACTTTCAACTCATATTTTGTAAGTCTACTTGGTTTTTACATTTGGTAATAATAAAGTTTGTTGTAGCTAATACAATTACAAGATATTCAAGTTTCATTGACTTATATTTATTAAATTACAGCTAAATGATAGCATTAACAGAATAGGGGTGTAAGATCTCTGTATTTGTATTCCTCGTAAAATTTTAATTTTACTGAAACATTAAATTATGGGGGGTTGCAGATGTGCCATTTTCATTGTATATGACCTGTATCTAGATGATACAACAATCTTACAGATGGATGAAAAAATTTATTGGTAGGTTTATTGTCTACACCTGCATTTACTCAAAAAAATATGTATAGTGTGAGTATGATTTATTTATAAAGACTACTAGTGTAATTTTTCTCATAATCTGTCTCTGATATTGCATGTATTCAATCCTCTTTAATATTGTTGTGATATTTTAATGTTGTTAGAGATAAGTTGTTATAGCAAGTTTCAGCCATGTTTCGTGTTTGTATTTTACATACATACAATAGTCAGATGATTGAAGCAGCTGATTACAGGAACAATGGTGAGGACCTTAGCATCTTTAAGATTAGGTTCTTATAAATGTGAGTGATCTTTGATTTTGCTTTCCAACACCGGTATTGCTACTGTAATGAAAAATTTATACGCAGTAATTCAGTGATAATTAAGTTTGATAATTAATGTCACATTCACCTGAATGTAAAGAAAATAACAACTGTAAAATAGGTTTCATATAAAATCATCGTCAAAAAATAAGATTTATATCATTGATTTTATATTTGTAATCAAACTTTTATTCAAAGAAGAAGCTGTTATTGTAAAATGTAAGTTTGTCAGTGATTATTAATAAAGGCAATATTGTTTTTAATTCTCTGTGTGAATTTCTGGTTTAAGATACACAGAACTAAAAAGACACTCAATAATGTCGATGATTTGTACCGTTATTTCAGGACATTTTTGAAAATACTAGACCAAATTTTTGCATCAGGTTTGGAATTTTTCTTTAATACATAATATCTGAAGATCAAAACTGTTAAGCCTTAGAAAACTTTGCTGATACAAATGAGTTGATACACAACAAAAGAGCTCTGTGAATATCGGAGATTTTCCCAGTACTTTGAAGTAGCAAAACATTTTGGTAAGATTAGATGTGTATGTCAGTTTAACATACTTGCAGCCACATAAATTTATTCTGTTATTTTAACCTTGAAAAATGTAGTATATATATCTTTGATTTTAAAAAATTTGGATAGTACTTCTAACGTAAGATGCGAAAATAATATCATATTAAAGTCAGGTATCACTATTATTCAATGTTTTTTTTTCCTCTTTATTTAAGACATATTTTTTATTGACAGGAAAAAAATATACACACATGCCTCAGGTGTTGTCTAGTATAGGGTCTGAAATGTTTTATATATGCTTCTTTTGTATGTAACAAAAACTGTTTTATTTTCAGGTTAGTGCATGTTTGTGTTGTCAACAAGAAAGCAAGAAGAGCATGGTTAAATTCTTTCAGAGAAATTGGTAGTTTTGTAGGAACTCTACAGTTTATCTTGGGAAATTCTCTGAATGGTGTGTACGAGTTTTTTGTTCTTCTTTAATACACTGAGAAATGTATAATTTTAGTCAACATTTAGGGAATGTAGATCATAACTACATGTTTAACATCATTTCAGGGGTATAGATTCACTACTTAAGAAGTTATTTTATTTATAATTTAGTAATGCTTCATGATTTCATGTTACTCTGGTTTGGGTCTTAAATTGCTGAACACTGAAATGTGCATATAAAAGTTCAGTAAGCACTGTAACATGTGCTCATTGTTGAGTAATTATGAAAACAATTACTGGGTATTTTAGTTATGTTTTTTTTTCTTCTCAGTAATATATGGATGGTGTGTAATATGAGTAAACAATGCATTCATAGTTTAGTCATTTTTAAGTGTCACTCAACATAACTAGGCTTAGAGTGTGATGGTACATCTTTAAATACAGTTCACACTTATCAAAAATTAACTGATATGCTAAATTTTCAAGCATTGTTCAGCCTTACTAGGCCTAAACTAATATGCTAAATTTCAAGCATTGTTCAGCCTTACTAGGCCTAAACTAATATGCTAAATTTTCAAGTACCACTCAGGCTCTCAACAGACATTTTGTATATTTATCTAGTACAGAGACAGAAATTTTTTGAAAAGTGATTTATGTGAAGTGGACATATTGGACTATTTCTACTTTGTTGCCTGTGCGAGTGGTTGCTATATAGAATTTGTAATTTAGCAGTTATAAATTAAAGTAATACTATATAATTTACTAACTATACATTTGAGTTATGACACTTTTAAAAAATTTTTGTTACAAATTGGAAAAATTTCAAAGTTACTATAATTGGTCATAAACAGTGCTCTTCTTTATTGAAATGCCCCATACTGTAAACAATAACTAGTGATAAGTTATTTGAAGTTAGTATTTTCTATAAGAAAATAATAATATGCCAGGGGGAAAAAAAACTTCTGTTTTGAAAACATAATTTTAAATGACAATTCAATATATTAAAATATAATTTTCATTGCAAAAATAATATTTTGCTGAAACTGAATTGGTTGTCAAAAATGGTGATTACTATGTGTATAAATTATTTACCATATTTTTCGATGTATAAGACGCACCCTTATTTTGAAGACAAAGTTTTGGGGAAAAAAAAGCTACAGACGCAATTGAATGCGC